AGGTCCCCACCTGCCTCCCTGTGTGCTCTGGTGTTCCCTCGCCTCCCTTAAGGCCAGGCTTTCAAAATCTCTCTGAAAGAGAGCAGCAGGCAATATTACCTAATTTGTCTCTAATCCAATAGTCCTAGGATAATCCTGGAGGGGAAAGTGGTCTGCTGAGCACACCCTGGCTTACTCAATAAAAAACACATTGAGAAACAGTGGTATTTTTCTGTTTTAAAATAGGTAGGTTTGGAAGGAGCTGGGAAACTGTGGCGTGGATTTACAAAATGACTGTAATTGTGGGAGAGGTATTTTCTTTCAATTTTGAAACACATTAAACAGGATATACAACTTAGAAATAACTTACAGTTGGAGGGAGGCTCTTTCATCCACGGGGGACACTTCTCCTGGTTGGAGAGGGTGGTCACAGGGGCTATGGGAAGGGGCCCCAGGGGACCCCCGTCCTGTTCTCTTGTAGCTTCAATGTGACCAAACAGAGCAGAAAGTCATAGTGTCAGAGGAAAAAGCCCCTGTTTTTTTCTCTCATAGGAAGCAGGAAGATGCTGGGCTGAGCACTGATTATCAGAAGGAGAAAACTCACCCTGTTGGCACAGACAAAAGGCTCCCCGTGGGCCTTGCTGGGAGCCCCCGAGCGCACCAGTCACATTGGGCGCCACGATGGTGGCACTTCTCTTTGCCCACATAGCTCTCATCGGCATGATGAATGAATGTCTGCTGAATGCCTGTCTATGCTGGGTACTGTGCCAAGTGTTGGGAAGCCAGGACACAGACATGGAGGTGTCATGCTCACCAGGAGAGAGAAAGCACGCTGGTGCAGGACCACAGTGATTGGTGCTGGGGTAATGGTAAAAGTCAGGAGCCTAGGCCTGGCCAGGGGAGGGGATGTCACGGGGGGCTCCTTGGGACAGGGCTTACAGCAGCGCTTGTGGGGAGGATGGGGGGTCAGATGGTCGCGGATGGCATAGCAGGAATGAGTCAGAGAGAAGGGAGGGGCCGGGGAGACCTTCCTACAAAGGCCAATGGTGTGGACGCAGGTGCGCAGGAAGTGGGCATGCTGTGTGAGCGGGTGAAGCAGGCTTGGGTGAAGGAGGGGCCGGCAGTGGGCTTGGGATGCAGGACCAGACTCTGTGCCCCGAGGACATTGGCCCAAAGTGTTCGGATGATGGGCATCTTGGATGGTTCGGGTGGGTGACCGCATGATGCCTTTTTTCAGACAAACATGCTAGGGGGCCCCAGGCTCATTTTCAGGGCCTTTCCCTCTTTCTCTCCTCGCTCTCTGCGTAGCTGGGTCTGGTTTCTCTCCTCGCTCTCTGAGTAGCTGGGTCTGGCTTTGGATTCCTTCAAAATGCGTCGGTCTTCATGTATCTGCCACCGCACATCTATGTTCTATCAACCCTCTGCTGTCAGACACACACACTACTACGTGTAGTGCATGTGGGTGTGCACGTGCCGGCACGCAGACACGTCACATACCCATGACGCTCTCCCCATTCCTCAGTGTAAGTCTCGGGTCTCGATTGTCCCTGAATGGCACATGCTTGCAGCCAACCGCCCACTTCCTGTCTCCACCTGGATCTCTCTTAGGAGTCTTGAACTTGACATAGCCTGAACCGAACCCTTTATCCACGCTCCCTCCCCAGCCTGTCCTTTCTCCAACCCCCACCCCCCCACCACCACAATCTCCGCTGAAGTCCACTCCTTTCTCTTTTGAAAACCCTGGAGTTGTCTTTGACTTCTTTTTTTCTCTCACACCTGATGCTTCATCCATCAGGGATCCCATCAGTTCTTCCTCTGAAATACATCCAGAATCCATGGACTTCTCCCCATGCCAGCACTCATAGCTGCCATGATGCCCCACCTGACACTGAGGGTGCTGCCCCACTAGAGTCCTTTCTCTGCTTGCCCTCCTGCAGCCTGGAAACACAAGTCAGATCATCTCACTCTTCTGCTCAATACCATTTCCCTCAGAATAACATTCCAAGTCCTTTTCTTGGCCCACAAAGCTCTCCATGGTCTGTGGTACCTCTGTATCTTTACCTCTGACTCAATTCACTCTACTTCATTTTCTCCTCTTTATCAGACACCTTGAAGTCCTTTAATATGTAAACATGCACCTGCCCCAGGATCTTTGCACTATCTGCTTTCTCCTCCTGGAAAATTTTCCTTCTGATATGTGCATGGCTGGCTCTTCCTTTCCCTTCAGATCCCTTATTATAGAGGCTTTCTTGGGCCACTCTATAAAACAGCAGCTTCCCCTCCATCAGTCTTTTTTTTTTTTTTTTTAATAAATAAGAAATAAGCCTCATATTGTGTGGTCTTTATTAAAATACCAAAACACAGGAAAACTTTTAAAGTAACATTTCTATTCTGGGGACTTGCCAAGCTTTAAAAATACTTTTTCTAGTTCACTTGAGTTTATAGAAGGATTTCATCTGTTTTTGTAGATTCACGGCTTGTGATGAGGATGTTAAGAGGTCAGGTGTAAGTCAAGAAATTCCATGAGCATTTGCAATAAAATAACCCTCCATCATTCTTTTATCCCTTAATTAGCCCTGCTTTTGGTTTTACTTATCACCACTTGGCATTAATTTTGTTAATTGTCTCCTTGCTGTTAAGGAACTACACAAGTGCAAAGAACTTTGTCTTATTCTCTGTTTATCAGCAGAACCTAGAACAGTTTTAGCATTTGTTCTGTAATCTGTTTGTAAGTATTTGCTGAATGAATTGAATGAACTCATCTTCTAGCAGGTTTGGAGGGGCTGGCTTGCAAAGACATTGGATACTATGGTGGTGATCTAGGCATGGTGTGATTAAAGCCTAGATGAGAGGGCGGCCTCAGGGATGTAAAGGAAGGAATGAATGAGGGAAGAGTCTTTAGACTAGATATTGCAGAAGAGGGATGCTCGCTTGGCCATGCTTTGGATGACTCTTTATAAGGGCTGTGTTTCAGACTCAAGACATGAATTAACCTTAGGTGTTTAGATGCCTCCTGGTGTCTGGCCCACCCCTCTGCCAGTCCCTTATTCCATGATCCTGGGCCCTGCCCCAGTTCCTCAGCTTGCACCCCATAACCTTAACCCAAATAGCTAGGCCTGAGGTTGTAGACCAACATTTAAAGGAAGAGGTAAAATGTCTCTTCTAAGCTAAGTAGAAAAGATCAAAATAAGTTGATCTGTGATGTGAGAAAATGTAAGGATATATAAAGGTACTAGATGGTACCTGGGTGCTTAAATTTCTTTAAATTTTGTAGATGGCCATTTGAAATTAGTAATTTAATATTATGCTTTGTTTTTAGCATGCAGCTCATTTTCATAGAGGAGCTGATAATTATGGCTTTGGCCATGAGGCTATAACTCAGCCCTCATCACTGACTTGCTGGAAGCTGCCCAAACGGCCAGCAAGGGGCCTAGAAGGTATAAAGAAAAATTATCCCAAACTTGGAATTGAGGAAAAGGGATGCCTCCATATCCTTTTAATGTCATACCTGAGTATTGTCTAATAGGTCCACTGAAGTGTCATTACATCTCTAGGGGGATGTATCTTTGTTTCATGTACTATCTACTAGCTGTTAGGACTCAAACTCCGTGAAGTTACATGTTAACTTACAGAGGGTAAGTCGCATGTACCTTTTGCCTAGTAAAAATGCAAACCATTTCTGTCTGGTTGAAAAGATATCCACAGATGTTACGGTTTTATTGTATCATAGTTTTATATGTAACTAGTTTTATAGGTAACTTAGTGCAATGAACTGTTTGTGTCTCCCCCCACCCCCAATTCATGTTGAAAGCCTAATTCCAAGGTGATGGTATTAGGAGGTGGGGCCCTTGGGAGAGAAGGCTGGGTCATGAGTGGGATTAGTGCCTTTTTTTTTTTTTAAGATTTTATTTATTTATTTGAGAGAGAGAGAGAGAGAGAGGGAGAATACAAACAGGGGGGAGGGGCAGAGGGAGAAGCAGGCTCCCCGCCGAGCAGCGGGCCTGACACGGGGCTCTATCTCAGGACCCTGGGATCATGACCTGAGCCGAAGGCAGACGCTTAACTGACTGAGTCGCCCAGGTGCCCCGGGGGGGGGGTTAGTGCTTCTATAAAAGAGAGCCCAGAGAGCCCCCCTGCCCCCTTTGCCATGAGAGGACACAGCAAGAAGATGCCTGTCTACGAACCTGGGAGTGGGGCCTCACCAGACGCCTCACCTGCCGGTGCCTCGGTCTTGGACTTTTCAGCCTCCCACACTGTGAAAAATGAGTTTTTGTGACTTATAGGCTACTCAGTCTATGGGATTCTGTTCCAGCAGCCCAAATGGACTAACATATTATTTATTCCAGCATTCTCCCCCTGACTGGCTGTCCATCTCTGTTTCTCTAATGCTGAGAACCAGCTTTCCCAGCCTCTTGGCTCCCTCGCTGATCAGCTGAATAAATGTGCTTCGTATATATTTGACAGTATGAGACCACGTTTCATCATTTTGAAAATAATGCTTTGACAGAGGAGATAAAATGTCTCACGTGCTAGCTGTGTAAACCCAAACCTACAAAATGATGTCAATGTCTCAGAATACATATATAAAGGACTTAAGCTACTTTCCCCCATCTTATTTCTATTTAAAAAAAAATTTTTTTAAGTAGGCTACATGCTGGGCATGGAGCCCTCGTGGGGCTTGAACTTGACCCTGAGATCAAGACCTGAGCTGAGATCAAGAGTCAGACACTTAACCGATTAAGCCACCCAGGTGCCCCCATCTTATTTCTATTTTAACTACATGGGTTCACCTGTTCAGGTAGGATGCAGATTCTCCTATTTCTCATGGAGTATTTCTCATGGAGCACCAGTCCAAAGGTGGGGACAGAATGTTACTCTGTCAGTTCAAGCTAGACCTGCCATTTTACTCTGCTCATTCACTTTCTACTTTCTTTTTAATCAATTGTCTTTAAAAACATAAAGCACATGATCCAGCAACAAGTCCTGGCCAAGTCTATAATTAAGATTGGGGGTGGGAAAGGGGGGGGGGAGGCTCAGCAAAGTGCCTTCTCCACCATCGTCTGAGGGGCTCTAAACTAGATCTCGCAGTTTGTTGTGAAGCAGGGGATTGGGCAGGGAGTTAGACATATGGTCTTGCATCTTATATGTGTTAGGAGACAGAGCTGCTGTGTGGTGCGGTGCAGAGGCTGGGCGGACCCTCTATTGCGCACGGCCTTGCCTTGCTCTGGGATTGGTGTTCCCTGGAGGCACTCCAGTCCTGCCCCAGCTCTAGCTGTGTGTGTGATCCACTGAAGTTGCCAATAACTACTTATCCCCGTGGGGCTTAATAATCCCCTAATGGCCAGTATGGAAAGCTCACCTCCCTACCCACCTCCTGGAGGTGTGGAAATAAATGAGAGAAAGAAAACCCCTCCAAAAGAAAAAGTGTTATCTGAGAGTTGGAAATATGGGTAAAAAATGACTCCTTGTCCTTTCAATGTCACCCCAGAAAACACTGCTTTGTGCAGGATCGTTATTCCGGATGGGAGAAATTGTGGGTGCTTCATTCATGGGGTCCATGTCACTTAAGACCATCCTTTTATCTTTGAGGCGGGTGGGAGTGGAGAGGGGGGCCCAGGGGCTACAGCATTCCAGAAATGGCCTCATTTTGCACATCCTCAGGTCCACAGTTGAGACAGCTTTCTGTTCTAAGAACTTTTGAAAGCGGTTCTGTTTTTCTAAGACCGTTAACCAAAAATTAAAAAAAAAAAAATCAATAAGAAAACTCAACTGAAGGTGTCAGGCTATTCTCTAGGTCAGTGAGCCTAAGTTGCTGTGGCTCCAGAGTGAGCAGCCACGCCCAAAGGTGGAGGTTGGTGGGGCAATTGGTGTTCCAAATGGAGCTCGTTTTGGAAGGAATGGATGGATTTTCCTGGTGGGGAAGGCCTGCGGCTGCGGGCTGACAGAGCTGGACCGGGGGTAGATTGGGGTTGCTCTGTGAGTCTGCAGACAGATTCTAATCTAAGAGCTGGTCTGCCCTGAAATTAGGGGGAATCATGGACCATGCTGCGATGTGTAGAAGCCTTCTTTTTCTCAGGATTGCGACTCGTAAAGGTATTTGTCTCCTCGGTCTCATTTAAAATGCTTATGTTTACAAGGTTCCTTTACTAGGAGCAATATCCATGGATGTTGTATTTCTAACCTGTTGTGTTGTTTACCTCGAGGAAAAATGGGCTTGCTTTACCTTATTGACTCAGCTTGATGGAAAATATTACCCTGGTGGAGATGGAGATGGGGCCACCATTTTGAAATAACTACATGGGTTCACCTGTTCAGGTAGGATGCAGATTCTCCTATTAAGAACAAATAGATTTTGGAAATTTACACATGGTGTGATACATTGCAATGGGACTGGTTTCTCTCCTCTTCTCCACTCTTTACTAGGGCTTATATGTATGTATCCATAACACACACACACATGCACGCATGTGCACATGCATGTACGCGCACACGCATGCATATATGAGGCTTTTTAAAAATACAACTCAACACTACCAAGAGGCCCCTTTAGCCTAAGAGCGCACAGGAACTCTGCTATGATGAGTTCAATTTTGGCAGTCTAATCGTCTTGTGGTTACTCTACCCTGAGGCCAGACCACAGTGAGGGCCTCCCCATCCCCACCCAACCACACCAAAGTGGGGGAAGGGGCCATGGAGAACACAAGAACTTTCTCCATCACCCGTGAGAGGGTGACCACAGGAGCCTCGCTTGAAGGTCTTGGGATGGGGGTGACTGTTTCCCAGCTCCTGTCCCTGTGGATTCTGTGAGGGTAGGAATATATGGCCTGGTATAAAGTAAATGACGGTCTTACTCATCCATCCAACTCTGACTGTGTCTGACCAGGTATCAGTAAACCGTTGGAAACGGACTGTTACTCACCCTCACCTACTGTTGAAGGCAGGGTGCTTGGTGACATTGCCAGCCAGCTGGATACATTTCTACCAAATAGCACTGTGGACAGGGAACATTTCTTTGACCCTACTCTAGCACATTTGTCCTCCCCCACCTAGTTTTCTGTCTGCCACCATCTACCATCCATCTAGCAATCGATTAAATTAAATATTTTACAAGTGAGTCCCATGAGACTTTGTTTTGAAAACTGTGGATTCAGTGAATAAGGCGGGTCCCTGTGTTTTGGTAGTCTTTCTCCTTATTCAGAAATCATACAATGATGGGAGCTAGCAGGACTTGTAGCTTCTACGGTCGAAGTGGTGGATTTTAGGGAGGCCTTACAGCCATGTGGCTGAGCGCCCGCATGGACCTCAGACAGACGTGGGCTGGAACGGTGGCCATGCCTGGGGCCCTCAGTTGCTTCCTATGGAAATTAGAAATGATTGTGTCTGTTCCACAGGGCTGTTGTAAGGATCATGTGGAGAGCACTGAGCGTTGTGTGTGGCTCCTGGGAAGGGAGTTCTAGTAACTGAGCGTCATTGTTGTCATGGCTGTTGGGGAGTGCACGATAGCAGAGAGGCTGAGATGGCACAGCATGCCCGTGGTGGGGACCTGGATGGAGCCTTCATGGAGAAGAGAATGTTCCCCATCCTGGCTTCTGCACAAGAGTGGGAGTGAGCCCCCCAACTGGCTAAACCAGGAAGATTGTGGGGCTGGGGCCCCCTGGCTGCCTGGGGCTCTCTGGAATTTCTGCCTCCTTGTTTCAGATTGGTTATCTACCCCAGACTGAGTGGCAACTCCACGGCAGATGATGACTGGGAGAGCGGCCTGAGGTAGACACTCACAATTCGCCAGCGCTGCCAAGAATAACAAGAGGGGGCAGGAGGGGAACACAGACCCTCATGCAAAAGAGTGGGTTTTGAATTCAGTAGGTGAGCTACTTCTTTTTTTTGAGATGTGTCATTTGTCTCTGTGTCTTAGAAAGCCAGCCCTGCCTCTCTCACCTCAACTGATTCTTGGATTTTGTGAGTGACCATCTCACAGTCTTCTAGCAAAACACTTCTGAGGTAGACTCCTTACAAAGCCTCGTGCAGTATTCAGAGCAGGGCAAGAGGCAAGGGGCAAGGGATTTGGGTTCTGGAAGAGCTCTGGCCCCAGCAGTGCACTCAGACTGGCCCATTCTGGTGTCCCCATGGTAGACACAAAGCTGAGACCTGCCTGGGCTCTAACTGGAAGCATCTGCCTGTAACTGGGCCCTGAAGGGAGTTACAGAGAATCTGGCAGGAAAAGGGGTCGCTGGGTGATCTGGCTTCCTCTCATCTGTCCCTGGTCATTTCTGAACTAAAACCGGGCCCCAGCCCTCAGGCGTGACCCCTGATCCCAGACACCTGCAAATGGTGATTTCCTCCCAGGGTTCTGGGTAAGTAGCACAGTGGAGGTGGCCAGCATTTAAATGAAGCCGCTGACATGGCTGAATTTATGGTATCCTAAAAAAGGAGATGCAAAGCCCTTTTGACAAATTGTTAAATAAAGATTGCAAGTCGTGGAAGGATGCATGTAGCAAATTTTTATTACATATGTATGTAAATATATAAAGTTCTGGAAGGCTGTGCACTAAACCACTGGCAAAGACTGAGAAAAAAGGAGAACTTGGCTTTTTACATTACGGACTTTTTTTTTTCTCCAGAAATTTCAGATAGTCTTGAAAGCATGACTTATCATACAATACTTACATTCTGTACGTTCCTTGCCACCTGACAACCTCAGAAAACACAAAACCAGTTCTAGCCTCAAAAGTTCTGTGACTCTGCACACATTCTGCACCTTCCAGTTCTTTCCACGTGCTTCTGGTCCCTGGGACCCCCGTTCCGATCACTCAGCTATGCGCGATCGTTGCTACCATCACCTGCTAATTTCCTTTTTGATCATGGACTTTATTCCTGGCAGTTTTTCTTCATCAATTCGAGTTCACAAAACCGTCCTTTGCCTTGTAGTGAAGCAATCTGGGGAGACATTTTCCACAGCGTGGGGGGAAAAGAATCTGGATCAATACAAACTCAGAAACTGTTCGAAGAGCCCCACAATGCTTCTGATTTTTTTCTTGGCTTTCTTCCCTGATGCTTTTGCAAGATAAGCTTCCTTTGTTTTCCACTGTGCTTTGCCTTACTCTCCTCTACTTTGATTTCTTTAGGTAATCAAGCTACTAGGTTGATGGAAGGCTGTCCCGAATGCTGAGGTTCCCTTGAAGTAGTTTCATCTCTTAACTGGGCTCTGTTGATAAACTTATCACAACCAAGTTCTCTTCGATCAGAGGGTTGGTAAGACGCAGTCAGAGCTGCAGGAAATGTGAAAATATCACAATCCCTCCTCTGAGGTTTCCGCTGATACTCGGCATCAAACATGGCTTCCCCCGCCCTGCAGTCTCCACAGATTGCCCGTGGCCTCCTTCAGGCTTCTTGCTTCTGCCTGGAGCAATTGGGTAATTAATTCCTAAGACGCTAAGTGGGTGATGGAGGCTGGGCAGTGCAGGGGCCTGGGCCTGGGTGTGTTCCCACACCCTTTTCCTCTGGCTGTCGGGGCTTCCCCTGTCCCTGCCATGGGTCTCCTCAGGCTGCCTGGGGCAGGCTCCTGCCTCCCTCCGCCTCCTTGTGCCTGCCAGCTGTGGCAGTCTGCAGGCAGCGTGGACCTCGGGGTGTGCTCGGCCTGTCCCAGAATAATAGGAGTCAGAGGGCAGCGTGAATGGGGGCGTGCATGTGCCTTAGCACATCCCTTCAGCCTTGGGGAGGGTTTGCACGAGGAAGGACTTGGGTATGACTCCAATAGTTATCAAACAAACACAAAAACAACAATAGCACAAGAATAAAGAGAGAGCTTGCATGTGGCAGGGCCACTGGAGGGTTGTGTGGCCCTGGGCGAGTCCCCTTCCCGAGCCTGGCCTCAGCTCTGGGGAGGCCACTCTGCCGAACTCCCTGCTAGAGACCCTGGGCTCACAGCTGCGGAGAACCTGCTTGCTTTCTGCTGGGCCACCTGCTGTGCCGGATCTCTCAGAGCCTGGCTGAGGAGCCAGAGGAGGGCTGCTCCCGAAGGCACTCTCCCTCTCCTCCCGGCCTCATCCCCCTAACCGGAGTGGCCCCTCTGAGAACCTGAGGGAAGGCTGGACCTGCCATCACTGAAAACGCACAGCTTGCAGGGCATCTTAGGACCCTTGGCCTGGGTTAAGAGCGGGTGTCTTAGGGAAGTGCCTGCTCCTTGAGCAATGGGGTCTGCCCTCAGCCCCCCTTCACTCAGGGACCCGGAGCCGTGAACCGTCAGCCAGAGAAAAGGGGAGCGGTGGTGCTCAGGATGAAGGCAGGATGGTCCTGGGCCCCAGGAGTGGCTTGGGCTGCAGTGGGGTGGCTGCTGGCCGGGCTCGAGGAGCCTGCAGAATTCCTGCCCCCCCGCCCCCCCACCCCCATTCCGCCCCCCGCCCAGCTGAGACAGCTGACTGACCCAAAGCACTTCTTACCATACACTAGTCACTTCTGCCAAACCTTCCAAACCTGCCAGGGGCAACTGGTGAGCTTATGGAGGGCCCATGACAGCTAGTGTGGGACTCTGGGAGATGGGCGCCACCCTTTCCCCCCCCCTCCTCTCTCTCCCTCCCGCCTGGGCTGCTCTGGCCTCACAGGAGTTGTAGGAACCATCGGGTTTGCACTTCACAAAGTCGCCGATGTTTTGGCGGAAAGGGCCTGGAATGCACCTTGCACAGTCGACCTCCATTCCCAGCCCTGCCCCTGGCATTTGGGAGTGACAAAACCCCTTGGGGAGCTGCCACTCCAGCTTGGATTCACCCTGTGCTGAGCCTGCGCATCTGGCCTGTTCCCATCCTCACTGGACATGAGGGTGAGGCAGTCGCTGCAACATTTCAGGGCAGGGGGGTGGCCAGGGGCCTCGGTTTTGGAGTTGGCCTGGCCTGTGCCCCAGGTCTAGCCCTCCCATTTACCTGCGGCGTACCCACGGGCAATCCCACCCTCCCTGGCACTCAGGATCCTTGTTGGTAGGTGGGGATAATTATGTAACACATTGGGCAGGGGATGGGGTTAATAATGCCATAATTACATTACGGGGTTGCAGGATGAAATGAGGTCATTCTTACAGAATTTGGCTCAGCACCAGGCACGCGGAAGGACTCGGCATCATCAGCGGTCATGCAGGGCGGGCACGGCTGCGTCTCTCACCCACTTCTCCGGCCGAAGTGGCCTCCGCTCCCTTTCTCCCATTGCTCTACACGTCGTTTTCCTTTAAGGCTTTGCAGCGTGTTTTGTACTGCGGGGAGTTCAGTCCCACGAGTCAGCAACTTCTTTACTCAGTGTAGTGACATAGTGACGAGAGCTCCGCATGCTGGTTGTTCACCCACTCACCGATCCCTTCTCCGGCAACTGCCCAATGCTGGCTGGTCCTGTTTCCGCACATGGCTTGAGGGGGCCCAGGCCTTTCGAGGAGTCCTCGGTGCAGCAGGCCCGAGGCCCCAGAGCCTTCCAGGGAGAGCTGTGCTTGACCTCGTCAGCCCCGGGCAGGGGGTGGGGGTGGGGGGGCCTCTGAGAACTGTGTTTGGACTCATGGGATCTGAGCCTCCTGCCATCACACTTGCTGTGGATGAGCTTCTCCTTTCCCTGGAAAGTTCAAGTCTTAGAAGTGGAATGAGGACTTTGTTGACATGTTTTCCCTCCTAGCTGAGTCACCTGTGGTTTTTGTTCCCAGAACCCATTCTGCTGTGTTTCGGTGTGGGGGGAGCCGCATGTGTGCCTTGCTTCTCCCACAACTGAGCCGAGGCTTGCCTCACGCCTTCCCACACCCCGACCTTCCAAGGAGAGCTTCTGGGTGTGCGGTGAGCTGTTTTCTAGCGGTTGAGGAAAGAAACGGAGAGTGACATGCCCGTTTGCCTCATTTTGAACATTTTTAGTTCGGTAAAAACAACCCACCCAAACCAACATTGCACTGAACTCACCTTTTAGAAACACCGTGTGCCCTCTTGAACCCGGCCGTCGTGGGCTGGCTCCGGCCCCTGGTCGCCAAACCCTGCTTGCGCTCCGTTCTCAGCCAGGTCTGGCCTGCTTTGTTCATCTTCCCCAGGCTGCCCGGCTGCAGAGCTTCCTTTCCCACTGCTCAGCACGGGCTTTTTACCGTTTCCTCTGTATTGGTTTACGGCAGATGGCCCCAACTTGATGGTGAACCCCAGAGCAGTGGGAACATTCCTGTAAAAGCAAATCGGAGTCACTGTAGATGAAAACAATTCAAATACAGCAAAGCACAGGGAAGAAAGTGAGTTTCGGTTGAGATCAAGCCCCCCAGAAATAAGCGCTGGCCACATTTGCTGTGACATCTGTCGGGTTAGTTCTCTCGATGCCAAAGCCGCTACCAGGTGAGGTTCGGGGGGTCTTACCCAATTGCTATCCTGCCGGCCAGCGCTGTGGTGGGAGCCGGCTAGTGCCACTCTCCTTTGTCATTTCTTTTCCACTTCTTCCCCTTCCTGGCCTGGCCATCTACTATAATATTTTATAAGGTGTTGTTTCTAAAGGGTCTTCATTGATGGCTTTGGCTGATTATTCAACATGCTTTTTTTTTTTTTTTTTAAGATTTTATTTATTTATTTGACAGAGAGGGAACACAAGCAGGGGGAGCTGCAGGCAGAGGGAGAAGCAGACTCCCCCCTGAGCAGGGAGCCCAATATGGGGCTCTGTCCCAGGACCCTGTGATCATGACCCCAGCCGAAGGCAGACGCTTACCCCACTGATCCACCCAGGCACCCCCAACACACTTTTCTTGAGAGGCAGAATGACGAGTGATTAGGAACAGACTCCATAACTAAACTGCCAGGTTTGGAGCCCTGAGTACACCTGTCTGACCCTGGACAGGTCACATAAACTCTCTGTGCCGCAGTTTCCTCATCTCTACAATGGGCATGAATAATAGTGCCTACCTCATACATTTGTGCTGGTGCTCGATTATGTTTTTATTATTATTATATTTAATTGAGGTATAACTGATATATGATATTATATGAGTTTCAGGGATACAACATGATTTGATATTTGTATATACTGTGAAACGATCATTGCAATAAGTCTCGTTATCATTTTTCACCATACAAAGTTACACATTTTTTACTTATGATAAGAACTTTTAAGATGTACTCTCTTAGCAACTTTCAAATATGCAGTACAGTATTACTGACTATAGTCACCATGCGTACACTACATCCTCATGGCTTATGTATTTTATAACTGGAAGTTTGTACCTCTTGACCCACCTCACCCATTTTGCCCACCCCCCAACTTTCCCTCCCCTCTGGCAACCACCAATCTGTTCTCTGTGTCTATTAGTTTTGTTCGTTTGTTTTTTTAAATTCCAGTATAATTAACATGCAGTATTATATTAGTTTCAGATATACAACATAGTGATTCAACAATTCTATACCTTACTCAGTGCTCATCACGATAAGTGTACTCTTCATCCTCTTCATCTATTTCACTCATTCCCCGACCCCCAACCTCCCCTCTGGTAACCACCCATTCGTTCTTTGTATTTAAGAGTCTGTTTTTTTGTCTCTTATTTTTTCTTTGTTTTGTTTCTTAAATTCCACATATGAATGAAATCAGGTAATATTTATCTTTCTCTGACTTATTTCACTTAGCATAATACCCTCAAGGTCTATTCATGCTGTCCCAAATGGCAAGATCTCATTCTCTTATTCTTTTTTTATGGTTGAGTAGTATTATATCTATCTATCTATCTATCTATCTATCTATCTATCTATCCATCTATCTACCTATATCACATCTTCTTTATCCATTTATCCATAAGGATGTTTCCATATCTTGGCTCTTGGCTATTGTAAATAATGCTGCAATTACATAGGGGTGTATACATCTTTATGAATTAGTGTTTTTGTTTTCTTTGGGTAAATACCCAGTAGTTCAATTACTGGATCATATGGTATTTCTATTTTTAATTTTTCGGAGAAAACTCGATACCGTCTTCCACAGTGGCTGTACCCCAATTTGCATTCCCACCAACAGTGCAGAAGCGTTTCCTTTTCTCTATCTTCTCACCAACACCTGTTTTTTTCACAACAGCCATTCTAATAGGTGTGAGGTGATATCTCCTTGTGGTTTTGATTTGCATTTCCCTGATGATTAGTGATGCTGAACATCTTTTCATGTGCTTGTTGGCCATCTGTATGTCTTCTTTGGAAAAATGTTTATTCAGGTCCTCTGCCCATATTTTAATCAGATTGGTTTCTGTTGTTGTTGTTACTGAGTTGTTCGAGTTCTTTATATATTTTGGATACTAACTCCTAATCATATATGATTTGCAAATACCTTCTGTCATTCAGTAGACTGTCTTTTCATTTTGTTGATGGTTTCCTTTGCTGTGCAGAAGCTTTTTGGTTTAATGTAATCCTACTTGTTTATTTTTACTTTTGTTGCCCTTGCCTTTAGAGTTGGATCCAAAAAATCATTGCCAAGACTGATGTCAAGAAACTTACTCCCTATGTTTTCTTCCAGGAGTTTTACTTATCTCTGTTTCATCTAGGTTTTTTCCTGGGATTTTATCTTATTCTTTCATTGGAAATATATTCCTCTGCTTCCTCATTTTGCTTGGCTCTCTGTGTTTATATGTATATATTTGGTGAAATAGCCACCCCTTCCAGTCTTGAAAGACTGGCCTTGTGTAGGAGATGGATCTTATTGTACAACATTGCCCTAGTTCTTGGTTGTCTCTCAAACCTTTGTGATTGTCTAAGCAGGCTGATTTATCCTTGATGGGTCCCAGTGGTTGGGGGTGTGCCAAGACCTGCTGGTGTTCCAAAGGGAGGGATCTCCGTCAGCTCCTAGTTTCAGGCTGATTGGAAGCCAGACCTACTGGCAACAGCTTGCTATTTATTTATTATTTTTTTGTTTTTTTGATTTATTCACATATTTATTTATTTATTTATTTTTGAGCGAGAGAGAGAGCATGCACCAGCAGGGAGTAAGGGTAGGGGCAGAGGGAGAATGAAAGAGAGCATCTTTTTTTTTATATAAAGATTTTGTTTATTTATTTGAGAGAGAGAGTGAGCAAGTGAGAGAGAGCAAGAGCAGAGGGAGAGAGAGAAGCAGACACCCCGCTGAGCAGGGAGCCTGATGCGAGGCTCTATCCCAGGACCAGGAGACCGGGACCTGAGCCAAAGGCAGACACTCAACTGACTGAGCCACCCAGGTGCCCTGAAAGAGAGAATCTTAAGCAGGCTCCACGCCCAGCATGGAGCCCGACGTGGGGCTTGATCTCAGCACCCTGAGATCATGACCTGAGCCGAAATCAAGAGTCAGATGCTTAACTGCCTGAGCCACCTGGGGACTCTAAAGCAACGTCTTTTAAAGTGTGCGAACATATATAGTCTTATGGGACCACACCTGTAAACCCTGCTGGCCTCCCAACCAGGTAATTTGGAGGTATCCCCTGGGTAACAGTTGCAAAAATCAGAGCTCCAGATGAACGGATAAGCTCTGTTCTGGAAGGTACCAGTGAGCTGTCGTGAGGCCAGTATGAGTGCAACGATACCAGCCCACATTCCCTGAGAGCCTCTGTAGCCTCTAGATATGTGGTGAACCTGAAGCGTGCCCCTTAGACTAAAGCTCCAGACAAGGAAATGGGCCTTCTTTTTCACAGGAAGAGTGGGTGTGTTTCAGTCTGCAGTCTGTGCTGTGCCCTGGGTGGTGGCCTGCCAAGAACTGTCTCTCCGATAGTTTTAGTCCTGAGGGACTCAGAAAAGCATTTGCCCCTGGCCACCAGAGCCAGGTGTTCAAGGGTGTCCCCTCTGTGAACTGTGTGCCTGCTGGCTTTCATGGAGCCATGGGAGAGCATGGGGCATGGTGCACCTACTGGCATTAGCAGGTGGTGGGGGAGCTTGGGGGCTGTGTGGTGCTCACTGGCACTAGCAAGGTAGAGGAAGGGTGCCTGCTAGTGCCTCCATCCCTGGAGAGAGTCCCAAAGGCCCTGCCCCTCCAGCAGATGCTGAAAGATCAGCCAATGAATCTCCTTCGCGTAAGGTCTAGCTTTTTCTCAACTGCAGCCTTTGTGCTGGGTGAGTGAGTCTGCTCATGAGCCTTTTAAGAGCAGAATCTCTCAGTTCCCTACAGCACTTTGCATCCCCTGGAAGTAAGCCCTGTTGGTTTTCAAAGCCAGATGTCTGGGGGGCTATCTCCCCAGTGCAGGTCCTGAGGGTTGGGGTGCCTGATGTGGTGCACAAACTCCTCACTCCTTGGGGAGAAACTCTGTAATTGTGAGATCGCTTCCAATTGTGGGTTGCAGTGCCAGTGGTGGGGCTTTGGGGGAGACCACGTCTCTTCCTCTTGGACCTGTCTCTAGAGGCCCTATTCTCCTTTGTTGTGGGGGAGCTGTTCCTCTGTCTTTCAGGTCTTTTTTAGAAGGCATTGCTTCACATGTAGCTGTAGATTTGGTGGGTCTGTGGGTGGAGCTGAGTTCAGGATATTCTTATGCTGCCATCTTGAACTGCCTCCTCAACTGTGTTTTCAGCAGGGCATGGCATGTGGCAAACATTGAACGAGAGTCATATTGACTATCTATTAATGCGTAAGCCCGGGGAGGACAGGGAGTCAAGGCTACGGCAGCCCTTACTCATGCATATGTACACAGCACACGGTCAGGGCTGTTGGATAGAAGTCAGCTCAAGATTTCTATCCACGGGGATATGGAGGAAGGGCACTTAACCCAGCATGGGAGGGGACGGAGAGAATTCCCCCTGCAAGGGTGCATCAACCTTCATCACTCCTTGTCCACAGACAGAATAACATTTGTTCCACACCCTGGGCCATTTGTGGGAGAGGCTATTCATAGCTGCGGGTGACCAGCTGGATGGCTTCCTCTAGGCATCCTAGTCTCGCCCTTCACTGCCTTCCTTGGGGTGGGATGGAGTGGGCACACTGGGTGAGGGGCGCTGATGGTGTATGTCACACCTGAGCGTCTTGGGTAGTGAGCTCCTCTTGGTCCTGTCCTTCCTCTGATCTCTCCTTGCCTTCAGTCCAGCAATCCTATGAACCCTTTCCTTTTTCCTCATTGTGCTCTTCATCTCAGTGGTTGGTGATCCTGACTCCGAGGGCCACCATGAAGGCAACAAGGAGCTCAGAAGTTTATTTCTGCCCAACAAGAAAAGAGCATGATTCCTTTTGTTTTCTGGTCCAGATAAAAGAAAGGGGAGATGGGGAGAGGACAGGCTACATGGTACTTTAATTATACCCAGACAAGATTTAAAAAAAAGTTCTCAGCAACCAGCCTTCTGCGAGGATGATAACAAAACACTCTCTTCCAGCACTCGCCCTTGGTCCTGGGCCACAGCGGAGGGCGTTCATCTGTCCTACCCTTACCGTGAGCCATTGAGGGTGAGCGATGCAGTTTCCTGAGGGGGTAGTGAGCAGGGATTCCACCATGGTTTTAAAACCATGCTGTTTCGGTTAGGTTCTCTTGTTCTGTTGGCTCCTGATGGATGGAACTCTATGTAAGTCAATGCTGAAATGAGCTGCAGTGTAATTCCAAGCAATATATGATCAATATGTATATGCCGCATTGGGACACGAGGTTTCAGGTTCGATTACCAAATTTACCTTCACAGCATTGCATTTTGGGGTGATGGGAAAGAGGGTTGCATGAGGAGAACATGGTGGCATGTTGGGAGGTCACCTGGAGGGGCATGAGTCCCGGGCCAGGCGCTTCTGAGGGGAGTAGACAGGAGGTCTAGGGCTGCTTCTGATTTCATGGTGAGTCGGTCATGTGATTTGGGCAAGTCCTTCAACCTTCTCGCTTCTCTTTCTTCTTCTTTAAAAGGAGGAACAGTAAACTGTGTTCCAGATGCATGTAGGTGTCTTACCAGGAAGATTCCTTGGTCAAGTATGTTTGGAAAACACAGCCCCTCCTTTCCGTTACAAGACTCATTAGCACATTACAGGTTCTGCAGATACCTAACAAGAAGAAAACTGATTAGGATGTTCAGTGAGCACGTCCCTCACTTTTTGACCACAAAACCCCCTTTTTGTGGTGATGGTGGTGGTAGGTGGGTACAGTTTGGGAAATATTGGTCTAGGTGTCCTTCTTGTTCTCGAACCTGTGATGTGCAGATCATTGCCTGCACAGTGCACGGTGGTGACTGGAGCCTGAGTGTGCCTCTGTTTGCAGCTCAGCCTCTTTACCAGCTTCCGGGAGCACAGCATCCACAGAAGCCCCAGCACTGAAGCCAGCACCTGAAATCCTTACAGCTCCTTACAGGTGGGTGTGGCGCGTCAGGCAGAGCACTTAACTGTCTCCTCTGTCGCTGAGCCTTGCACGCTGCAGCGACCCTGGGGCCTCTCCATTCTACTCCCCGCCTTGCACACCCTATGTCCTCTCTCTGCCAGGCTCTCCAGAGCCGCCCTTGCCAGCCCCGGCCCTCCTCTGCCCTCCCCCTGGAACACTGCCATTAGCTGACCCCAGGCTCTCCCCTCCCTCTGCTCTGCCCTCCCCTGCCCCCACCACCCTGGGTCTGCTCTTAGGAGAGTAGGGCTCAGCTGATTCCTGTGGTTCCTCCCTCCTCCCCCATGATTCCTCAGCTTGAGCAGAAACCGTCCACCTCTTACCTGTAGTCATGAATGACTATATCTGTAGCTTATTACTTTGTGTGGTTTGAAAAGTCTTTTGTTTGTTTTTTAAATCAAGATAGCTTGCATATATATAGCTTTTTTTTTTACCCTTCAAAGCCCTCATTCATGATCTCATGTCATGGTCTCCGATCCCCGAGTGTGGAAGGGCAGTGATCACAGAGGTCTTGGAGGCCCCGCGGCCCACAGAGCAGAAGAGGCTGAGGCGGTTGTCACATTGTCCTGGCAGGGGGAGGAGTCCCACGTGGCCTTCCTTCAGGCCCCCCTGTACCTTGGTGACCTGGCCAACTGTGTAGACCAAAGCATCCACGCCAGCTGGAACACTGCCCGTTCTCATGGACACACCACTGTGTATCTGGGCCGGCTCCCAGTCTGGCCACACAAAGCCATGTTCTTCTGCTTCCAGAGGCTCAGGAGTGCGGGGTGCAGAAGGTCCTTCCCTGGGAGGCTTGGCTTCTGCATCAGGAGCCGAGCTTCCTTGCACTGGTGTTTGTCAGGGTGTTTCGGGGTGTGCAGGAGTCTGAAGCCAAATTTTTCAGCCTCTATTGGAGAAGCAAGTTTTATTATGTAAACATTTGAAGAGGGAGTGGAGGAAGCCAGCAGGGAGAGTCCTGGGGTGGATGATTATGCAGAGTTGCAAGCAGCCCTGTCAGGGACAGGTCTTCAGTGCTGCGTAGGTTCTGACCTGGGGAGATACCCCTGCCCCTCCTTCTGGCTGTCTCTGTGGGACACTGGTTCGTCTGTCTGGCCTCCTCTCTTTTGCAACCAGCGCAGCTCCAGAACCCTCCAGCAGCACTCCGGGTGGACATGCCCACTGATCAGAGTTGTTGTGGGTCAGGGAAGCTGTGGCCATTATCATTTTTCACACTGGGGCCCATGAGCATCTTCAGCTCCTTCATATACCTTATGGCTTATACCTGATACCTTTAGTTAAAAAAAAAAACAAACAAATTAAAAAACTCCCAGTGTAAACAGAGTAATTATGGAACCTTGTCCTGCAACCTAATCCAGCTTTAAAAAAATCCTAAAAAACACAAAAAGCAACTGTATGCTCTAAGTCAGCTGTATGGAGACGTTTTGTTGTGCGTTTCAAGCGTTACTGCAATCCTTCCCTGCCTGGCCTTAGCTCTGGCCCCACTTCCTCTTGGAAACAGGGGCAAGGGGCTGACACTGCACGCCAGGCCCGGCTCCACAAGGACGAAGCCAGGGCAGGACCGTATTTAACTGAATTCCACAGACAAAATTTTCCTATTATTCCATACTTGCACTGTTAACTATGAAAAAAATTTTTCTTGTTATTTTTGGTGGAAATTGCTCTTCAATAGTCTATTTATTTATTTATAAAAATTTTGTAAAGATTTTATTTGAGAGAGAGGGAGAATGCGAGACAGAGAGCATGAGCGGGGGGAGGGGCAGAGGGAGAGGGAGAAGCAGGCTCCCCGCTAGCAGAACCCTGGGATCATGACCTGAGCTGAAGGCAGATGCTTAACCAACTGAGCCACCCAGGCGCCCTTCAATAGCCTTTTTAAATGACAAAGCCAACAGATAGAAAACATAAAGGGACAAAGGAGAAAATAAAAAATGAACCATCATTTTACCATCCAGAGATAGCCACTTTTGACATTTGGTAATATTTCTTTCCAGTTATGTGTATACACATTGCAGTCTTGGAATTGTTGTGTATATAATTTTGTATAGCTATAACTTTTCACTTAACATTACAGCACAACTGTGTTTCTCTGTCATTAAATGCTCTTGAAGTCACCATCACTAATCACTGCTGTTTCTTCCATTGTATGGATATACCATAATTTATTTAACCATTCCCACATTATGAGACAAATACACTGGTGCCAACTTTTTTGGAACTGTATATGATGACGCTTCAATGAGCATCTTTGCAAATAAATCCAAGTTTCTGACCTGTTCGAGCAGTGGATTGCCAGAAGGTGGGTGAGGGGTGGAACTCCGATTGCCACATTGCTTTCCAGAATGGTGATTTCAAACACGGATGGGTGAGGCTTGCGGCGCACATCAGCAGCATCAGCTGGAGACTGTGGAGGTGTCAGAATTGTCCATCTTGATTTTCACTTTCTTCCTGTCACTCCTGAGGTGATGTGAGAGGTCAAGGTTTGACTCGTTACTTTAAGAGGCCCAGGCCAAAAGAGAGTAAGCAAATGAACGCTTATTGAGAATTTACCTTGTGTGGCAACCTCTGGAAACAACGATAATAATAACATGATGCCTGGGAAGGAGCTCTATTCTGGAACATTCCACACACTTTCTTGGCTTCATGAAGTCTTTACTAACATCTTTATTATTTTCGCTTTTAGGGTATCCAGGTTTTAAAGACCTTGTATATGAGGTGAAGTCATATAAATCATCTAAGTTGTGGTAAGCAGTAATGTCCAGTGGGCGTATGGACGCCTGGACACTGGCCATTCTTTTTTTTTTTTTTTGAAGATTTTATTTATTTATTTGAGAGAGAGAGAATGAGAGACAGAGAGCACGAGAGGGAAGAGGGCAGAGGGAGAAGCAGACCCCCTGCCGAGCAGGGAGCCCGATGTGGGACGCGATCCCGGGACTCCAGGATCATGACCTGAGCCGAAGGCAGTCGCTTAACCAACTGAGCCACCCAGGCGCCCTGGACACTGGCCATTCTTATTTCTGGTTTTCTCTGTTCCTGATCAACAGTCAGTCCATCCTGGGCACACTTAGGCCCAGGCTGGATGCTCCCTCCGAGCAATGTCAAAATTGTCACTTTATACATCACTCTAAGGACGTAGATTCTGAAGAAGGCAGTGCTGAGGGGGTCTAGAGAAGGGGAGTTGGCTTTCTGAGATAATTTTTCTCTTTCCTTCAGGTTCAATTTTTTTTTTTCTTTCCCCTGCTAACTGCTAAGTTCAGAGTCTCAGGGGGTGAAGTAGATTCTTAGCACTGGAGAAGTGGAACACTATGATTCTCAAATTCAGGTTTATTTCTTCTAAATACCCAGAAAAATGATGTGTGGAAATGTCTTCGCTGAAACCATGCCACTTGCAGCCAGACGCACACTCAGCCTGCATTCGAGGTGCTGAAGTAACATGACAGATGGTGGGTGGGGAGAAGGCCCAAAGAATGCCCTCCAGGAGGCAAGCTCCTGGTCCCAAGGTTAGACCGCCCGCCACCGCCTTCTTCCTCAGATACCCAGGTGCCGAGGCTCACCCTGGGGCGGAGGGTCTAGCATTAGACCCTCCAAGCTCCTTTCTCTCCGGGGTGCTGGCTTCTGCCAGATGCCAGCAGGAAAGGGAGAAATGGCCTGACATGCTGCACGCCAATGTGAGATGCCCCAAAACAACGCGGTAGCATCTGATGTTCCCAGGATTGATTGGGGGTTCCAACCACGGCTTGTGTGGCCCTGTAAACATTATTCAATCTCTCTCAGCCTCCGCTTCCTCATCTATAAAATGGGCTCATGGAACTGCCCCCGCCCCCCCTTAAGTTGGTTGTGACCCTGTATTGAAAGATCCTAGATTGGAAATGTAGTGTAAAAGCTTAGAAGGTGCTGGGTCAATATTGCTGTTCTTGTGTCTCATCCCACAGAACAATCAGCAGAGGCTCCTGGGGTGCTTCTAATGGCGGGCTTTTGGTATGTGGAGAGACCTCGGAGGGAGATATTTCCCCCAAGCACAGACATATTCTTGTGACCTTAGGCGGTGCTCACACCACAGGCACGATTCAGGGCAGTTCCTCCCCGTGGGGTTTGGAGTCCCTACTCCTCCTCACCCTGGCGCCCCAGGGAGTGCCTTTGGATTCCTGTCCTCTGTGTCTTGCCTGAGTCCCCACAGGCTGCCTTGGCTGAGAGGCCCTGAACCCTGTGCTCATCAGTCAGCTATCAGGCAGAGGTGCTCTCTATGTGCCTAAGCCAGGTGGGGAATTGCAGGGAGCCCAGCCGGGTGCAGGGTACAGAATGGCAGGTGCATGGAGTGTCTAGAGGCCCATGGGCAGTGCCAGGCCATGGGCAGACAGAGGTGGGGCTGTCCCCTCCCCTGCTGTGACCTCAGTGCTATCTCAGACCAAAAGCAGGAGACTCCGATGGGGACAGAGGGCCCCAGTCGCCCCCAGGGCAGTACTCGGGAACAGGCAACTTCATAGCCCATTGCTACCCAGAGTCCAGCCCCAGGAAGGCAGCCTTCGGCTTGTGGCCTGGGCTTAGTCCCCGCCAGGTGTGACCACACCACCTGAGCTACGTGACACAGCGTGGTGACTTTCATGCTGGCTGCCTCTTGCAGGATGGCCGTGGGGCCTAGCTGGCCCCGGCACAATCTCGGACAGCTGGGCTTCTGGCAGTTAGCCCCCCTGACAAGGAAACGGGCCTTGACCTGTGCTTGCTGTGTGGCTAATAGGAGTTTACCGAGCCCAGGACTGATTTGGAGCTTACTAACCCTGGTTTCCAGAACTGGGCTTATGTTGTACCTATCCTGGAGGCTGTATTTTTTTATTTAAAAAAAAAAAAAAAAAAAGAATATCTTACTCAGGGTATAACTCTTCACAGCTAATCCCAGTGCAGAGAAGAATGAATGCTCTTGGTGTTTTCTCGAGGTCTCTTAAAGGAAATCTCTCACCGTTCTCTTGGGTGTGGCATTTGGCTGCTGGGAACACAGTTTATCTTACAGAGGAAACTGTTTCGCAAGAGGTTTCCCACAATTATGGTCTGAGGGAGGGTCCCTGCCAGCTTTTCTTAGTCATTTGGGCTTAGAGGGAAGGTGGGTTTTGTTGTTGTTGTTTGCCTTTTTTTTTTTTTTTTAAATCTGAAGGCAGGAGCCATCTGGGAGTAGGCACACATGGGTAATTACCCTGAGTTAGGGAGACAAAAGGATTGCTGATCAGCAGCTCTCAGGGCTGCTGCAGGTGGCTGATGGCTTTTGGTGGAATGTCACCAAGTACTCAGGCTACGGGGTGAGTCAGAAATCCTTAGGTCACTTGTGGTTTTCTTTCATGGTTTTGCTGTGACTATTAACTTGTTTTTACTTAACAAGAAAAACAGGTGTTTGGGTGTCTGAAAGAGTGCTGCCCTCTCCTAGCAGCTTACTGTAGTCACATGGCTGCCCCAGTTTGGTCCACACTAAATAGATAACCAAAAATGAGGGAGAACCAGCAAACTCTTTAGACAGGGCCTCCCGGGACACTCAGATCCTTGTGATGCTCATGAAGAGAGTAAGTGAGCTTAGAGTCATCCATCCTTTGATAGTTTGAATTGCTGGATCGGTGAGACAGCCCCCCCGGGCCCCCTCCGGGGCTCAACCTCCCTTTGGAAGTGAGTGTGTGTGCTCTGCCCCTGGCTTTGAGTTTTCTATATCCCGCCTGGATGAGCTGACAGCTCTCACCTTGAGTTCTGGTGCTTTTTGGATGGAAATGAAAGCACCACATTTGTCCAAACCCAGCGCTGGGCTTTCTTTTCACCTGACCAGGCAGCCGGACTCTGCAGCTTTTGCATTCCCGCTAACATCAACGCACACACTCCGGATTCCCAATCCCAGGAGAGAATGGCTGCCTCCCCTGCTGCAGGCGCTCACCGCTTCCCTCCGGTCCTCAGGCCTGAAAGGATGAGTTTCAGGCTTCACTGCAAAGACCTTCACAATGGGACTATTTGGTTCCAATCAAACCTGCTCTATTCACAGGAGTGAAAGTGATGGGAGGTGCCAGATTGGGCCCTCAGCCTTGGGACTGGAAGTTGCTAGAATCTGCCAGACACAGACCAGGAAACTTTTTTTTTTTTCTTACCAGGAGTTAAAGGTGGCCCCAAATGTCCTCCCATGACCCCCATTCCCACTGGACCTGCATTATACCTGTCTGTGACCTTTAGACACGGAGCTCTTCAGGGTTGGGCTTTTCATTCGCAGCTTGAGCAAGGCGGCTGGTGGCCAAATAGTGACCGCCCAGGGCACACCTTCCTGGTCCTCTGCCACCAAGCCAGACCCCAAGGCTGCCGGCCCCCTGGAAATCGTGGGGTGCCTGGACTTGCCCTTCTATGGCAGGGGAGCTGCAGAGATTTGCTGCCTCGCCACATCACCGACGCGGGCAGGATGGATCAGCGTGGCGGGCTGAGTCAGACATTGGGGTCATGAGAAATGAACGTGGGCGCCTGGGTGGCTCAGTTGGTTGAGCGACTGCCTTCAGCTCAGGTCATGATTCTGGAGTCCCTGGATCGAGTCCCGCATCGGGCTCCCTGCTCGGCAGGGAGTCTGCTTCTCCCTCTGACCCTCCCCCCTCTCATGTGCTCTCTCTCTCTCTCTCATTCTCTCTGTCTCAAATAAATAAATAAAATCTTTAAAAAAAAAAAAAAAGAAATGAACGTCGCAGGAGTCGCTTGCGAGGGAGGGAGCTGGCAGGGACAGCGCAGCAGGAGGTGCCTGCAGTGCAGCCAGGGAAACAGGGAAACCGCAGTACAAGTCACCTCTGCCCCCTCCCCGGCCGTGTCACCAGGCTTCCACCGTGTGTGGTGCAGAGCAGTCAGTTCATTGGTCGGACGGATTGTTCTCTTTGCGAGGTGAGAGATGGTGTGGGGTGGGACACCTGTCAATACGTCATGGGTCATTTTCAGGGCCATCTTTTATCTTCCTCTTCCTGTTTGTAGTTCTTGGAGGGACACGTCAGCAGAACGGCAAGTAGACACCTGGGCTGCCATGAATGAGTGAGTGCATGGGACGGGGGCTCCGGGGCCCATGGCCATCCTCACCGAGGGGTGGGCTGCCTGTGGGAAGCGGAGCTGAGCCCAGCCGACCCGAACCCTCATCAGTGAGGGGGCAGCGAGCCGTTGCAAATGAGGGGGCAAGTGGCTTGTGGACAGAGGGATGTTCTCTCCGGCATATCCTTGCTGGGAAAGTGGAGCTTCATCAGGACGAGGCCCAGCGGGCAGCTGCCCTTGTAGCAGTTGAGTTTCCTCTGGTCTCTACAATTCTCATGTTCGGGGAGTAACTGTGTCCGTGCTGCCCCCCTCCGCCCACACTGTGCAAAGGGCTCGGTCTGCTGGCACAGAAGCACCCCTGCCTCCCGAGGGTGTGGGTGTGGCTGGCTGGTCACCGTCTGCTGGCTGCCTGCCCTCATCAAGGGCAGAGGCGGTCCCGCTCAGCCTTCTGGCCCCCCGGAGACACCTGTCATGCCGGCAGGCACCATGAAAACCCTGAGAGCTAGTGGCCCAGGGTCAGAGGTGGGCAAGAGTCTTAAAATCCATACAAGCCATTCCGAAGGTTTCCCTTGATTTGACCAGCATTGATTGAGCACCTACTGTCTATGGGGAGCTGTGTCAGAATCAAAAGGAGGTAGCTGTTGCTGGTAACAGGTGAGACGAGGTATCCGAACAGGAGCTGCCGTCCTGCTCCCCGGAGCCTGGAGGAGTTCTTAGAGAAATGGGGGTGGGGTGGTGGTCCTCAGAGACTGCCAGCAGAAGAGAAGTGTTAATCCTCTTACTGTAAAAATTGGATCCCTTGTTTTTGTCTATCTGGCTGTGGCTCTAGGAACAGAATCATGCCAAATGCTTGCTGCTTACCTGCCTGGTCTGATCTTCCCATCTAAGGTCAGGTCTGGACACAAAGCTTGGACGATTGGTGCCCAAAAGAGGGACCAGGAGGAGGGGAGACCCCCCGCCCCAAGCCTCCGACGCCTCCTCCTACTCTGTCTTATTGGCATCCAAAGAAACCAAGGCGTGTTTGGGGTGAGCTCTGCTCTGTGTGTTCCCTCATCTCTCTCCTCCCTGTGCTGGGCAGCGCACGGCCTCTCCTCTCCCAGCCCGCCAATGGCCACAATCTCTCCCTGCTCTAGAGTCAACACTCCCCTGGAACAACTTCTCACTTTGTGCCAAGCAGTGTGTGGCCAGGGGAGAGACAGGCAGGCTGAGCCTGTTCCCGAAGAACACTTCCTTCAGGAGAGAGAAAGGACACAGTGAGCCCAGGGCAGACCCTCCCAGCACAGGCTGAGCACCCCATCTCTGAGCAGCCGAGAGTTACAAACATGTGGGAGGCGTTGTCATTTGGGCCTCCCTTCCTGAGGTCGGCCTAGCTTACTCTTTGAGCTCACACTTCAGCACAGTGTCTTGGAGAAAACGGTGGACCGATCCCCACACCCCTGCAGTGTCGGGATAAACACTTTATCTCCACTCAGCTTGCTGACCTGCCCCCAGGGAGAAGCCGTGTCTTGTCTGACTGGGGAGACTGGTGAGAGCCTGGGCCACATTTACAAGGGAATATGGCCACCATGTTGTTTCATTAGTGTTCTCTCTTTTGCACCCCACATACACATCGCCATGAGTCCCACCAATTGGGAGGAAGGGCCAGGGCTCTTCTCTGTTTTCTTTCCAAATGGGAAGCACATCTGGGGTAGAACCAGTCTTTTTGACAGCCCATTTCTGTCCTGCCATCTGCTGGACCTAATGCGCCTGGCATAATCTTCCAAACAGTACTTAGCAGACCCAGACTTCCTCTGGAAGTTCCAAGGCCTAGACTTGAATGTGATGCTAGGAGCCCCCAGCTTGCCTTCTGGGACCAACCAAGTTCTCCAATCCAGCTTTTTCACAGAGCTGTGAACTTTGCAAGTTTCAGGCCATATCATCCTTATTTTCATCAAGTTTTTTTTTTTTTTTTTTATGCATAGGCTGTAAGATTTCAGGGAAATTCAGGTTTTCTTGAACATTGATTAGTCACAAATACTATTAGGAGCGACAACATTCATTAACAAGTTTGCCTCCATGTCCTTGTTGTAGTAACACCTTACAATCCGCATTGGCCTCATGGACCAGTCTCTGTTCCCTGGTGTCTGGGGCCTCAGCTGGGGAGACACAAAGGCTGGTGGTGATGGGGGCTGAGGCCTGGAATCATCTGAAGACCTGTTTGTAATTGCGGTGGTTGATGCCAGTTATCGACGGGGACTTTATCTCTGGCACGATCATCTGGAACACCTAGGTATGGCCTGGCCTTTCAGCATGGTGGCCTCCCAGGGGTCAGACTTCTTACATGGGCCTCAGGTTTCCAGCTGCAGGGTGGAAACTGCATCACCTTTTATGCCCTAGCTTTGGAAACCAGGTGTTACCCTTTTGCTGCATGCTTTTGGTTGAAAGCAAGTCCCAAGCCTGCCCAGATCAAGAAGAAAGGAATTAGATCCTACCTCCTGATGGAGGAATGCAATGTTTTGGAAAGGGAGATATGCTTGTGACCACCTTTGGAAACACAATCTGCCACAGAACAATCAGAAGGAAAATGTACAAGTTTTCTATTTTGTCTGTCTTGTTCTACCAGCAGGCACAAGGTTGAGAAGAGCAAACTGGGCAGGAAAACTCTGAGGAACAGCCAGTAATGGAAAGGGTGGTGGGTTTCTCATGTAGTTGACTGGGAAACACCCGTGTGTGACCAGGGGATTCAGGGACCCTTGCTTTGGAACGTTGTTTGCTGGTAATGTCCACTGTGGACTCTTAAATCTGAGCTCTTGCATTTTGCAACAAAGCATCCCTCCCCTTGCCATTTTGGGCCAAAAATATGTCACAAAGGGGAGTGATAGTTTTCCATAAAGGTGTTTTGTGCAGTATGTGGGGGCCAGTACATGTACAGTGAATGAGGCTGTGATCATTGCATGACTTTCTCAGAATCTTTCATAAGGGGCCCATACAGGAGTGCTGTGTCCTTTCTCTTCTTTAGACAGAAGATGGAATCTGTGAAGATTTCTTTCTTTTTTTCTAATTTTCTTTTTTTTTAAATTTTCTTTTTAAGATTTTATTTATTTATTAGTGAGAGAGAGAAAGAGATTGAGAATGAGCCAGGGGCAGAGGCAGAGGGAAATAGAGAAGCAGACTCTTCGCAGAGCAGGGAGCCCGATGCGTGACTCGATCCCAGGACCCTGGGATCATGATCTGAGTTGAAGGCAGACGCTTAACCGACTGAGCCACCCAGGTGCCCATCCATAAAGATTTCTATATGATTACTGCTGTGAGGATTTAAAAAGTTGACCCTAACTCTTACTAGTAATTCCTAAGAGGCAAGGAATTTTGTGATAATAATTTTATTTATTTTTTATTTTTTATTTTTTTTAAAGATTTTATTTATTTATTTGAGACAGAGAGAATGAGAGAGACAGAGAGCACATGAGAGGGGGGAGGGTCAGAGGGAGAAGCAGGGAGCCCGATGCGGTACTCGATCCCGGGACTCCAGGATCATGACCTGAGCCGAAGGCAGTCGCTTAACCAACTGAGCCACCCAGGCGCCCTGTGATAATAATTTTAAAGATTAATCAGTTCAATATCTATTCAAATGGATAGAAAACTGCCTTATTCTAAATATATTTTAAGGACTTTTTTTATTATGTTGTTTTGGGCATCTGGTACAAAAACGCATCATATGTGCGATAAACATAATTATTTAAAAAAAAATCCTATGATCCAAGGATCCTTTTAATACCATCTTCTTGGGCCTGCGTGCTAGATGTCTATCCCTGCTCGTGTAGGGAAGAAAGTTCATTCCTCCGGGGCGCCTGGGTGGCTCAGTCGTTAAGCGTCTGCCTTTGGCTCAGGTTATGATCCCAGAGTCCTGGGATCGAGCCCCACATCGGGCTCCCTGCGCGGTGGGAAGCCTGCTTCTCCCTCTCCCACTCCCCCTGCTTGTGTTCCCTCTCTCGCTGTGTCTCTCTCTGTCAAATAAATAAATAAAATCTTAAAAAAAAAAAAAAAAGTTTGTTCCTCCATTATCTGAACTGAAGTGAATGGAAATATCTCAGGGGCAAGTAAATTTGGGCTAAAGGCCAAGTGGCTTATTATAGGGCTTTTTAAAAAATTTTTTGTGGCTATCATGTTTTGATGTTTAAATGCCTAGATTCAAAGCAGTAGCTTTGCAGGGGGGCCTAGTGTATAGTGTGTGGATGCCAGGAAATGGCCATACTTGGGTGTATGTTCTCCATTGGATGGATCCAAGACCAGGGGGATGCTGAGGTCTGCCAGCTTCAGTGCCAACATCAAGTAAGCAGATGGTGCTGGCAATGTTAGCTATGAAAAAATCATGTTTTTCAAGAATATTTAATGACACAGGGAAATATGATCTAATGTGAAGTGAATTGCATCAATACTCCAAACTGTGTACCAACTGTATCTGGTGAATCAGCTGTAATAACATGGGCAGGAGGCAGAGCCAGCCAAACCCTGCTTACTCATTTCCCAGGAAGGGGTTGGGGGATGGGGAAGAAGCCCCAACAGAAGATACAGAGCCCTGGAAGGTCAGCTAAGGCCTGACAGGGTCAGAGTGTGGGGAGGATCTTGAAGGGCAAGAAGGAGGCAAGGCTGGTGGGAAAGAGATTAGGCTAACACAGTAGAAAAAAATGCATCACTATAGACCAAGCTTAGCACCATAGACAAGTTTTATCACTGTAGACAATGTTCATCACTGTAGGCCAAGTTCATCACTGTAGACCAAGTTCATCACTGTAGACAAGGTTCACCACTGTGGGCTGTTTCTCCATGAGCCTGCCCTGTTGTGTTATCTCATATCTGTCCTACCCCTTTGTTTGTTTGTTTTTAAAGATTTTATTTACTTATTTGAGAGAGAGAGAGAGCATGAGAGGGGAGAGGGTCAGAGGGAGACCTGAGTCAAAGGCAGTCACTTAACCAACTGAGCCACCCAGGCGCCCTGTCCTATCCCTTTGACTGGAGGCCATCAGTTGCTACCCTTTTTTTGGCAGTTCCTTTAGGTGCTCCTGAAGTCCTGTCTGCATGGTTCTTTCTTTTTTTTAGAAAGAGAGAGAGCACGCACACGAGTTGAGGGGAGGGGCAGAGGGAGAAGGAAAGAGAAAATCTTAAGAAGGCTCCATGCATAGCACAGAGCCCGACCCGGGGGGTTGATCTCACCCCTGAGATCACGACCTGCGTCAGACGCCTGAATGACAGAGCCACCCAGGGACCCCTGCATGGTTCTTATTTTTATATTAGACTACTCTTTGAAAGGCAGCTTGAAAGCAATCTAGCCCCATGACTAAAGGGTCAGTTTAAACGCATCTACAGGCTTCAGAAGTAACTTGCACCCCTAATTTTCAATTGTCCACTCTGATAGCTATAAATATCTTGCTTTGGGAAGGGCTGTTCATCTCCATGGGCTTAATATATACATATGAATGGAATCTATTAACACAGATTTGTGTGGCCTTTGTAGACAGTGGTGTTTATTCCTTTTCAGCTGTTGGTTTGGATAGATATAAAAAGAAAGGAAATCAGTTTGCCTTAAGAAGGTGAGGAGATGGAGAAGAACAGATTTTGGTGCCCTAGTGGTTTCCATGTGCCATGGGCCCACCGTTACCATCCCTGCAATCCCAGGATTACCCAAGGAGAGAATGAGAGGCGGATGGGGTGTTCAGGTTTTCTGTCAGGGGCCTGACAACTCCAACAACCCAGGGGTTCAGCCACCTCAGTGCTATCTAGGCAGAGGGCATCCTCACACTTGCTTCTCAGGCAAGTTCCCCTGGCCTCTTTCTCCAGCGGTTATTAACAGGCATCAATTCATTAATTGATATTGGTCTAATTCCTTCTGAGGGAAAAGTTTTGGACATTCTTGTAAAAAAAAAAAAAAACAAGTAAAAGAAAAAAGTGTGTTATTTTAGGAGGAAAACATGTTTATTGTTGAAGAGTTGCTTATTAACTCTGCTATAAATCCTTCTGGTTCTTTTATTTCTTTAAATTTTTATTCTGGAATCTTTATAGATTCAGAGAAAGTTGCAAAGACAATGCAGAGGCTTCCTGTGTACCCTCCCTCTGGTCACCCCACTGGTTACATCTCGTGTAATTATAGTCCGCTACCAAAACCAGGAAACTGGCCTGGGTACTATGTGTGTGTGTGGTTTAATGCCATTGTATTACATGTATAGATTCTTGAAAGTGCCGACCCAGCTGAGACACAGACCTGCTCTATCACCACAAAGGTCCCCCTTGTTCTTTCCCTTAAAGTCATGCTGCCCTCCCTCCCCACCATCCCTAACCCCTAGCAACCACTAATCTGTTTTCCACATCTGTATGTTTGTTATTTTGAAAAGTTATGTAAATGGAATTGTAGAGTATGTGACCATTTGAGACTGCAACTTTTTACTCAGCAGAATTCCCCTGAAACCCCTCCAAGTTGTTGTGTGTGCCCAGAGTCTGCTTTTTATTGCCAAATAGTACTCCATTGTGATGGTTAATTTTATGTGTTAATTTGGCTGGGTCAAGATATTGACCCAGATAGTTGGTCAAATAGTATTCTAGATATTTCTGTGAAGGGTTTTTGTTTTGTTTTGTTTCAGGTTTTTTTTTTGGCTGAGATTAACATTTAAATGAGCAGACTTTGAGTAAAGTGGATTATCTTCCATAGAGTCCATGGGCCTCATCCAATCAGCTGAAGGTCTTAAGAGAAAAAAGACTGACTTCTCCCAAGGAAGAGGGACTTCTGTCAGCAGATTGCCTTCGGGTTTGAGCTGCACCTTCTACTGTTCCCTGGGTTTCCAGCCTGCAGGCCTATTCTGCAGATTTTGGGCTCATTGGCTTCCATAATTACATGGGCCACTTCCTTAAACTCTTTGTCCATATATCTGAATCTGTAGACCCCTGGCTGATTCATCCATACTATGGTTGTACCAGTTTGTTTAGCCATTCACCCACTGCAGGACATCTTGATTATTTTGTTTTGGGTACTATATATAAAAAAGCAAAAATAAAAGTTTGTGTATAAGTTTTCATGTGAACATACATTCATGTGATTTGTTTTCTTACACTTGTTGATGGTGGACCACATTGATTGATTTTTAAGTATTGAACGAACTTTGCATCTCTGAAATAAACTCCACTTGATCATGTGGTATTCCTTTTATATACTGCTAAGTATTATTTATTAATATTTTGTTAAGAATTTTAGCATCTATATCCGTGAGCTATATTGCTCTGGAGTTTTCTTTTTTTGTACTATCTTTGTCTGATTTGATATCAGGTAATACTAGGTTCATAAAATAAATTGGGAAGTGTTCCCTTCTTTTCTGTTTTCTGGAAGAAATTGTGTAAAATTTGTGTTAACATTTTTTAAAACATTTGTTGAAATTCCCTTCAGTGAAGTCATCTGGGCCTGGAGGTTTCTTTTTGTGGAGTTTTTAAATTAAGAGTTAAATTTATTTATTAGTTGTAGGGCTATTCATAGTATCTGTTTCATCTTGCCTGAGTTGTGGTAGTTGGTAATTTTCAAGGAACTGGTTTATTTCACCTAAGTTGTCAAATTTATGCACCTAATGTTTTTCATAGTATTTCCTTATTATTCAAGTAATGTCTGCTGTATCTGTAGTTTTGTCTCATTTCATGGGTGATATTGGTAACTTGTGTCTTCCATCTCTCTTTTTTTTCTTTGTGAGTCTTGCTAGAGGTTTGTGAATTTTATTGTTTTTTTTTTTCAAAGAACCAGTTTTTTGTTCCATTCTTTGTCTCCATTGAGTTTTTGTTTTTAATTTTAGTGATTTCTGATTTTTCTGATTTCTGGTGCTCCCCCTGCCCCGAGCAGGAGAGGTTTGAACTGAACTATGGTGGGGAAAGTGGAGAAGTGAGTTGGGGTGTAGAAGCTATCCTCCCAACCTTATACTTGGAGGGTTGCTGATGAGAGGAGTGGATACGTGGTAGGGAGAGGGGACACTCCAGCAGATCTTGTAGACTCCAGGCTGCGCTGTGGAGTGAGCTGGAGGTTGGGAGGAGGGCAACCCCACCAGACACTTCCTGGCCTCTTTTGAAGGGGATCCTGGATCTCACAGGGCTCTGGACACTGGAGACACTATCCCATTTAAACCTCAGCCAGTCAGGAAGAAACGACAGAGGAAGATGAGACTCTGTTCACATTGAAGGCTCAGAATGTGTCCCTCCCTCTCCCAGCTCCAATCTGGAGCACTCCAGAGACTCTTCATTCACATTTAAGGAATGCTCTCTGGGGAGGAAACTTCACAAAAATGTTTGCATTTGGGAACTCAAATCTCCTACTGGGGTCCAACATTTAGTTCTCTCTTGTTTTTGGAGGTGAGGTGGTCTGGATGGTACCCAGCCTCATCTCTTGCCCTGAAATGGCCTGGGGTTGGTCTGCATCTAAGCCTGCCCAGGTGGTCCAAGGGGTGGGGGGCAGTTGGGGGTAGCCCAGCAGGGTACTCCCACTTAACGCAAGGACCCATCCTGCTTCTCACATATAAATATACCAGAGGCAAGTTTCCCAGACTTTTCAGAGGTTAAACAGCTCTTATAAAATGGCATTTTGATGAACTGAGCATAAGTAAATTGGAAACATTCAGATAACATTTCCCTAGGGTTTGAAAACCGAGCAAAAAAGTACTTGGCAAAGGGTCTAAGGGGCTGGACCAAGAGTTTGAAAAATGATCTGAGATGTTGTGATGAACCCAAACTACCAGCAGCTTCTCCTGTCTCCCATCATAGCTGCTGTAGAGAGCCCAGGAGAGGGAGGCCTCAGGCAGGAGGGGAGAGGCGCTTTCTCTCCTGGGGAGTGGAGGGAGTCACTTCCATGGTCATCTGCATGGGGCTTCCTACCTGGGCTGAGTTTGCTGTCAGATCTGTCTGTCCATCTGTCCATCTGACAACAATGGTGTTTGTGCCCTGATAGTCCAGACTGGAGACTGGATCTTGGAAAAGCTTCAAACAAATCAAAGGACTGTCTTCTCTTGATGTATGCCGTGGTTGATTCCCAGGAGACTCAGTGTTATTGGAAACTGTGTGAAAAAATACGCAATGTTGTTCAGTTCAGGCTCAGGTAACAATGAACAGATTTTCACCTACACGGATGTCAAGGAGGGTGTTTGAAAATCATGTGGGATGTGGTGGGATTCTGTGTTATGAGGGAGTCTCTTGGAATTCCTGATTTGTATCTGATGAATGCTATCAGTGTCCACCCCCATCATGGTGACAACAGAAAAGGCCCCACTGATTTCCTGAGTGTCCCCAAGGAGGCCTTGCTCCCCTTGATAAAACCCACTTGCATGAATGAGACATTTTGGAAAACATAACAAAGTGGGCTAGAGATGCCACAGCCTCTGTTGGGTGAAGGGAGGCTTTTCTCTTTCCCTCTGAGAACACACATGGCCATTCTAGAACTCTAGAAACTTCTGAGGCCCATCCAAAATTAGCTCCTTTGAAACATAACATGTTACAATGGTTTTCCTGGACAGGTGATGTTTTTCTTCTTACACCGCTCAGCTGCTCTCAGCCCCAGCACTTATATAAATGCTGCCAATTTTTAAACACGGTGGGGGGTGAACCATCATATGTTTTATGAGCCCCGGTCACCACATGGATAAAGGCAAAATTCTGCCTTGGGCACCCTTGGCTCACCCTGTGTTGTCAGCGAGCTCCTGGTGCGGCATCCAGGGCTGCAGATGGTGCGGCGTGAGAAAGGGCTCCTTCTCCTCCCCTGGACAGCAATTCTGGGAACCTTGGGACCCCTTGAGGTCCATAGGTGGGATCTGAGTGCGAGGGGCTCGGGGCAGCCCATCCTCGGCCAAGCTGGGATATCCACCCATCCCTTGTGTCCCCAGCAGGGGTTGGGGCCAAAGCTGGGAGACATTCAGCATGCAGCTTCCCAAACTCTGTGCCATCCAGGTCTAGAATCCAGCCCCCGCCCCTCCTCGGGGAGCCGACTCTTCCCTATCAGGAAATTCGTTTGCATAACAGAAGTTTAGCGCCCCCACGTTAAGGGCTGGGCCTGGTGATACCTGGAGAGGAGACTAGGTGACAAGTGGAGGGTTGGTTGTTCACAGGAAAAGAACTCAAAGGGTCCAAATTCTCCCTGAGTGTCCATCAGGCACGGCTGTGCTTTTGAGGCACATCTAATAGTGATAGCTCGGCACACTCGGGCCGGGAGCTCTAGGCCCTTCGTGTGCACAGGACGCCCCCTGATGCAGGGCCACGCAGTTCCGGATTTCGGAGGGCAGGTCGTGAGGTTTGGAAAGAGAGGGATGCAAGCTCTAGGTCAAAACTGCATCCAAATCGACAGCAAGGGTCTGTGGGAGGAGTGTTTGGGTAGCAGGCATCACACCTTTAGACCCTAAACTCTTAATCCTCTGACTCTTTCCCCCCTTCTCCCTCATCCCTCACTACAGTCCTACGAGAGGGATGCTCTTAAAGTCCTTGCTCAAAGTCACCTTGCTGGTAAGTAAAAGCACCAAGGACAGAAATGCAGGCCACCCAGCTACGAAGCCTGCAGGAGAGCTGTGCTTTCTGGAAACTTACAGAGCCAGCCTTGTCCTGATGATGATACCCCCGAAGACCCAGGTTCTGGGATCTCTTGTCCCAGAGAAACCCCTCACCCAGCCACAGGCCTCCCCCCACATTGCAGAGCTGAGTTCTGTCAGGGGAGCCTCATCTTCCTGCTGCGTGAGAGAATAAGAAACCTGAGGGCCAACGCAAGCCCCTCCATGAAGCAGGCCCTGGGTCGTCGAGCCCAGCAAGTAGGGAGAACAGGTCAGTGCTCAGACTGAGGGCTGAGGGCCCTCCTGCACCTTCACTGTCTGTCAGAAACCCTGCCATTGCAGAAGGGGCTCTGGGGCTCCTGAATCGTGTGCTGCCCTCTCAGAACACATGGAAGACAGAGGTGGCCCAAAGGAGACTTGGGGGGGCCTTTAGACCACCCCCATACTCTCCTTCCCATCTCGCTGGACGGCTGCAGCTTTCCAGTTTCTGGTGGGCAGCCTGGCACTTCCTGTCCCCTGGCTGGGTGGGGCATGTGACTGCCTCTGACTGGGGGGCTGTGAGCCCCAGTGGCACCGTTATCTGAGGTATGGGTGTGAGAACCTCCGGAGCGCTCTTTCCTCCGACACAGAGGTGGACCACATCGGAGCTCAGGCCCTGAGTGACCCCAGGGAGCACCCGAGGTTGGGGCTGCAGTTTGAAAATAAAGAGCCTCTTGGCCCCGGGGAACTATGGGGTATCTGGCAGGGAAAGTCAGACCAGGAGGATTGGCTGCCCCAGGAAAATGTGACTCAGAGATGAAGCACCTTGCCAAAACTGGGACGTGGCGAGAACGTGGGGAGTCGGGCTTGGAGCCCCGGTGTCGCCAGAGTATAGGTGTCCTGTCTCCTAGTCACTGACCTGTGGCCCCCGAGGCAGAGAGCTGTGAAGTCATGATTAGGAAAGGGCCCAGGGCTTGGTGGCAGAAGCCTGCTTTCTGGAGTGCCCGGCTCTCTGGACACACAACGGGTCTATACTTACTTGGGGCAGAAGACGTGCCTGGCAGGTGACTCGGAAAGCTGCTGTCAGTCATGCAGAAGGAGGCCGGCCTGTCTTCCTCTCCCACTCCCTCCCTGCCCTTCACCGGGCACCGATTCCACACTTTACCTTGACCCTGTGCAGGCAGCCCTGGCTACCCTGTGTCCCAGAGAAGGCCTGCAGGTCTGAGAGCAGCTCAGACTGGGCCAGCCCGCATCCCCTCCCGTCACTCACCAGCTTCAGCCCCGCACCCCAGGGAATGGGAGCGACTTCAGACAATCATTGCCCGAGTTAGGAGACTCCTCTCCCACGGATAGCTGTGACATGGATCTAATCCATTATCGGGGCTCAGCCTGGGCAGGGAGCAGGTGGGGTTGTGCGGGGCAGGGGTGGCATGTTGGGTGCGGAGCAGAATGAGTAGCTGGGGCGAGTGGCTTCCACCATGCTCCTCAGCTCTGATGTGCACATGAATTATCTAGAATCTTGTTAAAAGGCAGAGTCTGGTTCAGAAGCCTGGGGTGGGGCCTGAGACTCTGCATTTCCTCCAAGCTCTTAGGTGGTGCTGATGCTGCTGGTCAGGGTCACACTTCGAGGGGTGAAGTTTAGGTAACCAGAGCTCCTTCTAAGAGCAGTGAGTGCTGGTGAGTGGACAGCCGGGCCCTCTGGTGCAGGCCTCTGCTTGCCCCTGGGGTGTCACATGGTGGCTTGCAGTGCCTGAGCTGTCCCTTGTTCCGGTGATACTAATGACTGGTAAGAGGCTTTAAATGCTGGGCCCTGCACAAACAGGCTTCAGAATAGGCTGGTTTTTATTTAGGTCTCTGAAATATTGCCAGTTTGGCCACAGAATAGATTGTCAGCTCCAAACTAAGTTTCATTTTCTGGCATATTGAAATAATTAGAAATAAGGGACCTTTTCCTGCTCTTTTTGAATAAAGAAGAGCATGAGGCCCATGAGCCAAGGTCAAGCCATTGTGGTAGGTGGAATTCCAAGATGGCTCCCGAGATCCCTGCCCCCATGCACACACTCTGTTCCACTTATTCAATCCCACACTAATCTAGGTGCTGCTGTGAAAAGATTTTGCAGATGTAATTAAGGTCCCCAGTCAGTTGACTTTAAGGAGAAGAGATTATTGTGGGTGAGCCTGGACTAATCAGGGAGAGATTTGAAGTGCAGGAGGGACTCGGTGGGAGGGAGATTCTCCTTTGCTGGTTTTGAAGGTGGAGAGGGCTGTAGGAGCCAGAAGCAACCCTGGCTGACAGCCTGCAAAGAAACATGGACATTAGTCCTGTAACTCATTTACCCAACAACCTGAATGAGCTTGCCAACAGAATCTTCCCTAGAGCCTCTGGAGAGAGATGCTGCCATCAGATACTTTGATTTCAGTCTTGTAACACACACTCCCCGAGCAGAGGATTGAGCCACGGAAGCCACGGACTTCTCACTTACCAAACTGTAAGCTGACAAATCAGTGTTGCTTTCAGTCTTAAGTTTGGGATAATTCGATATACTGAACTAGAAAACTAATACAGCCACCAGAGGAGATGTTTAGGACCTTAAGCACACGGGCTAGCAGTGTTCACTTCTTTACACTAACTTTATGGGTCAGAATGGTCACACAATTCAGGTGCTTGAAATCTGAAAGGCATCGTTTTTCTACCTTAAAGCTAAGTTTGTATGTAAAATTTACTCTTTCTCTTTTTATAATGGCTCTATCCACGTCATGAGGGCACCACTCTCATGACCTCCCACAAATTTGTTTACCTCCCAAAGACCCCACCTCCAAATACTACCACTCTGGGAGTTGGGAGCGTCAACAT